GCCGTTCTATTTCAAAGTGAACTGACTTTGCTGGGAGTCGAGATAGTTCAGTGTGTTTCGTGTGCACCCGATGCTGCTTTGGCAGTCCTCCAATGGCTATCCCACACTGCTTTGTGTCTGGTTACCTGGGCGCCTTCCTCTGCTCTGGGCTCAAGTTGCGCGGGGACAGATTTTGCCCCTCTGCCCTGGAATCGAGCATCGCACAAGAGGTGCGCTGTTACCCCAGAAGCCCTCCGACATGCCTCAAACAGCCGCCTGCAGCCGTGCTGAGAGACAAAGCCCGGCGGCAATGCCAAAAGAGGTAGCTGCAGCAAATATTGCTGTCCAGGCAGCAGGCACCGCAGTGCTGTCACCACGGCCCCAGCCCAGCTCTGCAGCCCTTGGCCAACCCAGGCTACTGGCCTGGGCACACTAGCACCTCCCCTTCCCTGTGCTCCTGCCAAAGCGATCCCGGGCCAGGCCCTTTGCAGACGTAAGCTCATGATACTGAGAACAACTGCACCTGGGAGCCTAGTCTGAGCCCTCAGCTGCCTTGGCACCGTGGAGCCTGGCACTCGACCCCAGAAGGCCCACGAGAAAGGAGAGGCAGACGCCTGCGACTTCCAGCCCCCCGCCCCGGGTCCTGCCCTGCTGCACTTGGATGTTTTGTTTGACTGTTGTTTTAACTGAAGGTTTCTTTGTAGCTGTTAGACACCAGATTGGTTCAATAGATTGTTTCATTATGAAACAATGTTGTTGCATTACGGTTTCATTTAAAGGTTTATTTTTGCTTATTATATAATAGATTTTCAGTGTTTGTTATTGAACAAATTCCTGTGGAGTTGACAGTGCTTTAAACACAGAAATTCATTCTGTGTCCTATAATCTGTACGGTTTTACAAAAGCACATAGGCAAAGACACGCTGCCAAATAAGGATCGCCACAGCGTTGCGCCTCCACTGCCCATGAATAACACCGACCCGCTCCCATCCCATCCACCCCCATCCCTCTCCACAGACTAACAGCTAGAGCTCCGGCTGCACGGTTTCAAGCCTAGACTCAAAATAAGAGCAACAAGCTGTGTCATTTTGCATGGGCTGCCCAAACCGCTGAGCGCGGCTCTGCACCTTACAAATACAGCGCAAAACACAACCTACAGGTATCATCTTTGGGATGTTCTTTTCTGCTGCTTCCAACCTGTTCCACAAACAGCGCCACCTTCCTTTCAAATGGCCAAATGCACACTCCATTCCCATCCTGCAGCTACTGAAACAACAGTTCAACTAGGCAAATGAGGGTGAGATGAAATTACAAGAAGGTGGGTGCACAACTGGCTGAAAGATCGTACGCAAAGAGTAGTTATCAATGGGTCACTGTCAAACTGGGTGGGCAGGGTCCTGCAGGGCCCGTCCTTGGTCCAGTACTATTCAGTGTTTTCATTAATGACCTGGATAGTGGAGTGAAGAGTAAGCTTATAAAGTCTGCAGATGACACCAAGCTGGGAGGGGTTGCAAGCACTTTGGAGGACAGGATTAGATTTCAAAATGACCTTGACAAATTGGAGAATTGGTTAGAAATCAATCAGATGAAATCCTCACACACCCGCATGACAACAGCCCCAATAGATGATTTTCCCAGGCCAAACCAGTTGGCTCTGGACCGGTAGCATTTGGGGGGGCAGTTTCCAGGTGCCAACAGCGACCCCCTTGTCCGTGGGTATGGGGCACCGCATGTTAGCACACTGACGCTGCAGTCCAGAGTTAATTCAGCACATCCTCCAACACGGCTGCCTTCCCCATCCTGAAATTCTCATCCCACGTCTGCAGAGCAATCCTTTCCCCTCAACCCTCGCTGGTGTCCCAAGCCCAGAAAGGGTGCTCCAGGAACCAGGCTGGGATTATCAGCTGCTCAGCGTCTGCCTCTTCTTCCTTGTCTTCGTCCCACGTACTCAGCGCCTGCGGGAAGAGCCCTGCTGCTGACAAATCTGCTCAGTGGTGCGACAGGCGGAGTCTGCAGCCGAATTCATCCAGCGTGGAGTGGTGAGGGCAGCCCATGCATTTGGGGTTGCCAGCATGGAGCATTGGTGGGCCTAGGCTGGCCGACAGCGATTTGAAAATGGCGCTAGCCCGCCCAGAAAGGAAGTATGGGGTGGAGAAACATGGGATTTTTACAAAAATGTAACTCATCTGGCTTCCACCAGGCATCCCACAATGCAGTGAGAAAAATCCCAATACACATTGCTCAGCAGCAGAGCACCCTGGGCTACCTTCTGACAACACCTGGCCCTTAGTACACAGCAAGCTGCTGCTGTGCATACACACTGATGCGCTCCCCATCTCGCATGCACACTATCAGTGTGGCTTGTGCGTTATCTGACACACATCGAAACTGCCGATTAAACCCCCGGGGTAGGCAAGCCCTCAGCCTCCGGGACTGTTTTCCTCTCTGTGAAATGGGCATCATGGCGTCGAGCTGCCGCTGGAAAGTGGTGAGAGTTTCTGATGAGCCACATAAGATATTTAAACCCAGTCCCTTTGGTGGTTTAAAGCTTTGAGCTCACAACTGTGAGCAGTTGAATTGCAAAGGACAGAGCCATATCTCTGTGTTAAAGGTTTTTCCCCCAGGCTAGCAAGCTCTGCTTGAACATTGCCCAGCCTGTAGCAGAAACAGGGAAGTGGACCAGTGGGATTTTGGTGTCAGCGAGGAATGTTTAACACCATCGGTGCTGAAGGATTCCTCTGCAACGGATTCAAACCATCCCCTGGACAATTGCTTCCGTCAACTGATTCTGCTGAATTTGTCTCCATTCTAACAATACTCGAGCCAAAATTTGTCATTGGTCTTGACACATTTTTTACCTCAACCCAACAAGACTTAAAACAATATCCCGTAATAGTTTAGGACTGCGCAGGCTGAGTATTACACTCCTGAAGTTCCTAGAAGCAACACTTCTCTCTGTGAGCAGCTCTGAGGGTGTGATATGTGGAGATACTTAGGGCCCTACATCCAGTTTTAGGCACCACTGCGATCCACAAAATGCCCGCTCGGCTGCCACCTATGTTTTTGCTTCTGGGCATACGTGCGACAGCCTGACTGTAGGCACCAGGTGCCTATCTCCCACCATGGGCGGCAGGTGAACCCCCCTTTGGGGAGCCCAGCCTGCCCATACTCCAGGCTCTCCGGCTAGAGCTGAGCCACCGCCAGCTTCAGGGGTAGAGGGGGAGGGAGGACGGAGCCAGGGCCTGGGTCAGGGGAGGCTTAGCCTGCCCTGGCCTTTGATACCCTCTGCCCATGTCTCCCATCTAAGCCCCAGAGTGATTCGCAAGCCATGAAAGCCAGGCCTTTAGCCGCCTGCATCGAGTAGGGGGGCTTAATCCAGCAACATTTGTGTAGAGCGGGGTTAGGCAACCTATGGCACACGTGCCGAAGGCGGCACGCGAGCTGATTTTCAGTGGCACTCACACTACCCGGGTCCTGGCCACCGGTCCAGGGGGCTCTGCATTTTAATTTAATTTTAAATGAAGCTTCTTAAACATTTTAAAAACCTTATTTACTTTACATACAACAATAGTTTAGTTCTTTATTATAGACTTGTAGAAAGAGACCTTCTAAAAACGTTAAAATGTATTACTGGCACGCGAAACCTTACATTAGAGTGAATAAATGAAGACTCGGCACAGCACTTCTGAAAGGTTGCCGACCCCGGTGTAGAGGCTGCTTGCTGGCTTGGGCTGCGCAGGCACGTTCATACAAAATGGCTGGGTGGGGGAGACCTGCCTCATAACCTTCAGCTTAGTGGCTAGGGTATTCACCCAGGAGATGGGAGACCCCCCAGTTCGAGTCCCCTCTTCTCCAGAGGGGACAGAAGGGATTTGAACAGGGCTCTGTCACCAGCTAAGGGGAGCTACGTGCCCCAGCCACTGGGCTAGGGGATATCCTGCTGTGAGCTTCCCTCAGCCACCCCTATTGAAGCTGTTCCACTTTCAATAATTGAATAATTAAATATGAATTGGGCCAGTGAAAGAGTTGGATAACTCTACAGTCCCGCGGTTCGAGCCTTCCTTGAGAGGTGGCTGACCCGGATTCAAATCCCTTTTCCCCCTGCAGGAAGAGGGGCCTGAACTGAGGTGGGGTGGGGTGTCGTGTCTCCCACTGCCTGTGTGAATAACCTATCTGCTAGGCCAGCCAATTTGTTTCAGGCCCCACCTGTGACTCTGGTGGCCAAATGCCCAGCTTGCCCTGCTTTGTGGATGGCAAGCTGGGCTCGCCGCCTCCCTGCGCCCGGATTTAGGCACCAATCTCTGAGAGAGAGCGAGATGCCCCTCGTTCTAGCCCCCAAGTTACCCACCGGCCCTGGAAGGCCTCGCCCCAGGGAGCTGCTCTGGGGACTCGCTGGCCCATGGCCACCTTGCCCACTGACTGGGGTGGGGCTGTCTTGGCGCTGCAGGACTTGGCCAGGCTGGGACCGGTAGCTCCCCTTAGCTGCCCCCAAAGAGCAAATCGTGGGTCTGGAGAGTGCAGGGAAAGGTGGGGAGCTGCTATTGCCTCTTCCACTCCAGGGCCTGGGCCAGCAGGGGGCTGGTGGGGGCCTCGGGGGAAGGGCTGGCAGCTTGTGGGGGGAGGGGGCTCGTGGGGGGGGGGGGGGGGGGGGGGGGGGGGGGGGGGGTCAGCTCTGTATGGGGCAGGGGAGGGGCCAGGCAGCTCTGTAGCGGGGTCTGAGCCGGCCTGTGGGGGAGGGGCTGGGGCCTGTGAGGTGGGGGGGCTGTAGGGGCGGGGCCAGGGCCTAACGTGCGGGAGGAGCCGGGGCTCAGGGGTAGGGAACGCGGCTCTAATTCGATGACGGCACGCGGTGACGTCGCGGTGCGGCAGTGACGTCACCCTTGTCGCAGCGGGGCGTAGAGCGCGCGCCCCAAGCCCCGCGGGGCGGGGCCTGGCGCACGTCGCCCGCTTCCGGCGCGCGCGCAGGCCGGCGCCGGAAGCGGGGCGGGGGGGCGCGCGGCTCGGCTCGGGCGGGGGCGAGAAGATGGCGGACGGGGACAGCGGCAGCGAGCGCGGCGGCGGGTTCGGCGGCCCGCGCGGGCCGGGCCCCGAGCAGGAGACGCAGGAACTGGCCTCCAAGCGCCTGGACATCCAGAACAAGCGCTTCTACCTGGACGTGAAGCAGAACGCCAAGGGCCGCTTCCTCAAGATCGCCGAGGTGGGCGCGGGCGGCTCCAAGAGCCGCCTCACGCTCTCCATGGCCGTGGCCGCCGAGTTCCGCGACTACCTGGGCGACTTCATCGAGCACTACGCGCAGCTGGGCCCCAGCAGCCCCGAGCAGCTGGCGGCGGCCGGGCCGGGCGAGGAGGCCGGGCCGCGCCGCGCGCTGAAGAGCGAGTTCCTGGTGCGCGAGAACCGCAAGTATTACCTGGACCTGAAGGAGAACCAGCGCGGCCGCTTCCTGCGCATCCGCCAGACCATCAACCGCGGCCCGGGCCCGGGCTTCCCCGGCCCGCCCGGCCTGCAGAGCGGCCAGACCATCGCGCTGCCGGCCCAGGGCCTCATCGAGTTCCGCGACGCGCTGGCCAAGCTCATCGACGACTACGGCGGCGACGAGGAGGAGCTGGGCGGGCCGGGCGGCGGCGCGGGGCTGGGCGGGGAGCTGCCCGAGGGCACCTCCATCACCGTGGACTCCAAGCGCTTCTTCTTCGACGTGGGCTGCAACAAGTACGGCGTGTTCCTGCGCGTGAGCGAGGTGAAGCCGTCCTACCGCAACGCCATCACCGTGCCCTGCAAGGCCTGGGCCCAGTTCGGCGGCGCCTTCTGCCGCTACGCCGACGAGATGCGCGACATCCAGGAGCGCCAGCGGGACAAGCTCTACGAGCGCCGCGCCGGGCCGGCCGGGCCGGGCAGCGGCAGCGGGGCCGGCGACGACTCCGACGGGGACGACGTGGACGACGACTGAGCGGCGCCCCCGGCCGGGGAGCCGCCGCCGCCGCCACCCCCAGCCCCGGCCCCAGCGGAGAGAGAATCCAGCTTCACCGCAGACACCGACCGCCCCCGGCCCCTGCTGCCCGGATCCCTCCCCGGCCCCTTTCGAGATCGTGCCCCCCCGCCCCCGCCATGGAAACCAGCATCCCGGCGGCCGCGCCGCCGCCGAGCGCTTGAAGAGAAGGGAGAGGCCGCCGCAGCTATCCAGATCCGAGGGTGCAGGTCGCGATGGGGAAGGAGATCGGGCCTAGCCGGGGCGGGAGGGGAATCCCGGCAGCTTCGGGCCTAGAGTTGGGACGAGCCTGTTTCCGGACCAACGTCCATTCTGTCCTTTCCTTTGCAGACTTGTTTTCTGGGATGCAAACTGCTCCGCTCCGGGCGCTGCCGGAACCGGTCAGCGAGCGAGTTCCCGCTGGCAGCGTGCTGAAGATTAAGAGACACTTTCTTGTTTTGATTTTTTTGTTTTTAAACATGGGGGTTGCGAAGAGGTAGGTTCAAGGAAAAACAGGCATAAAGCACAAGGAAAGCTGAGTGGATTGGTTGCTGCTCACTGAAGTTCTTCCCCTTCTCTCCAAGTAAGGTGGTCTTGGAAAAGAAACAGCGTTAGCAGTAGGGAGAAGTAAGAGCCAACTCTCTTGGCTCCAGTGGGTTGACCCAGCCAATAAGTGGAATCCAGCCTGTGAGCTGGGTTTTTAAATCTTTAAACCATAACTTGGTTGAGAACAGCAACATGTGGCTACAAGTCTAGTCTGTGAAAGAATGACTGGCACAAAGTGAGACATGAGCGTCATTCATCTTCAGTGGAAATCAGTGGACATGTTCGACTATGAATCTAAACACCAAGAACCTCAGGTCCAGAAGTCCATCACTTGTTCTTTTACAAGAGTTTTTAAAAAGAGAAGAGAACTCAATCTGTTTCCTCAGTACCTCACATTGTGTTAACAGCAGAGTTGGCAAAAATGCACGGATGGATTGTTCAGAGCAGCACACAACCTGTGGGAGCTTCAGATCCATCGCTGAAAAGGAGCAGAAACAAAATGAATAAGCTCTGTGACTATAAATATACCCTAGCAGCATTTTTTACCACCTTGAAATTTCACCATAGACTGGCTACTGCCAATTCGTCCAGCTGTCGCTCCAGAATTCAGTTGGGGCTCTTTCCAGGGAGCACCACTTTAAATGGATTTTTCACTCTAAAATGATTTTTTTTTAGCTAATTGAGTCAACCCTACCCCTCCAGAAAGGTATTTCTAGACACCTAGTCGTATTCTAGTAACTTTGAACTGAATGGAAAGAGTGCTATTCATTCCAAAGTTCCAGATATTACTTGGGTGACATCATAGAATCTTTCATATTTTTTTTAAACTGTGCATGCCTGTCCTTTATTTGAGCTGCCTTTTTAATTTATTGCATACCCTTATTACCTTATTTTGTTATTACTCTACCTATACTATCTTTATTTTGTATTTATTGGAAAATAAGGAACATACAAAAGGCTTTTTTTTTTTTTTTTCTTCATGCAGTTGTGGCTGGGGGGGAGAATGGGTAGGATTTTAAAAAAATAGCTTTTGAGATAGTGATAAAAATCAGTTATCAGAACATTAACCACGAGTTTGTTTCAGCCACAGACCTGTATTGTTGCCCTTTTAAAAACTAATTCTTTCCTCCTGGTGTCCATGGTAGGTCTTTTTAACACCAATGTTTAAAGATATTTTTTTTTTAAATTCTTCTCCGTTGCAAAGAACCGGGTTTCCTAAACTGTACGGGAGCAATAGTTTTTCTTGATGTTTTAATTACATCCGTATACTTGTACTGTATTTTGTACTCTAAGGCAGCTGTTTTCAATAATGTCCTGCTGTATTTACCTATGTATTTCGTTCACATGTGTTCAGTTCTTTGCTGCGGAGAACAAATTTCCACCGTTTCAGCAGACAGAAGGGCTGAGACATCACAGCACTTAAGAGTGTAGAAAACTCTGCGTAACTAATTACAGATTGCAGGCAGCAATGAGAATTTTGAAGGCTGCAGACATTGGGTGTATAGTGGTGTAATTTTTCCATTCATTTTAAAACTATGTACAATTTATGTATAGACCAACAACGTGTTTTGTTGCTTCAGTGGTGATTGACCTTTTTTGTTGCTCAGCTGCAGTGAGCCAATTCACGTTTTGCGAAGATGCAGTACCTCTCCTTTTCCAGAGGATTCTATTTTTTGGCTGAATTGCAGTAACTAGCCTTACCTTTCTACTTATGTGGTAGCGACAGGGTCTTGATAGTCCCTTGCCAGTGGCTACATAAGCTATCATTAGCTGTCTAGGAAGTATGGAAGTGGACAGAAGCATGTATCATGTATGCCAAGAACACGGCCATATATGGCACCAGCTTTGGCAACCAGAAACATTTCTTCTGTAATCATTAGACCAGATAAGTGATGTATCAATGTACAAAACTCCTATACAGCTCAGTTTGGCCTTCCAGCAAACACCAGGTGTGGTCAGAATGCAGTGTGTTTCCAGAAGAAATTTTATATTCAAAACTGTTAACCTGCCTGTATCCAACTAAGCTATCATGAAAGGTGGGTTGATAAGTCTTAACTGCTGTTGAGGATTATCTCTTCCTACAGCGGGTTCATAGCCGGTCTTCCCTCTGCAGGAAGATGGAGCCCAATTCTAGTGGCACAAGGCCATGTTGAGTATAGTGGTTCACTGACTGAGGAAATCATTCCCTGTTGTTCGGGGTGGGGCAATTGGAATCTGGAGACAGGGTAGGTGGGGCAGAAAGGAGGGAGTTTGCCTCAGAACTGCAGAATTTCTGCAGAGATTTTTAGTTTTCTATTGTACTTGGGCCCACTGAATATTTCTTGTGAGATGCAAAGAGGATCATTCAGAAATACCTATTGGGTTATAAATTAAGTGGATTGAGTCTGCTGGGGCTCCAGAAGGTCCCCATAATCCACAGCCTCTTAAAAATTGCACTGTATATTTTACAGTGCATCACTCTGACACTAATTTGTAACATGTTAGTTATTTGGATATTTAGAACAGTCCTATTTCTATAGAATCTGGCATCACAAGATTGGGACATCTTGATGTGACCGGTATATCCATTTACTCCAGGCAAGCATGTTAACTGGATTGTTTGTGGGACAATCAAACAGTTCACCTTGATCCTAAAGCAAGTCCTGTATAGTTAAAAGGGGGAGGAAATTTGCCCCATTCTTGGTGTTACTGCTTGGATCGAGAAGGTGACCTCTGCAACAAGAAGGGTTGGACACTTCTTTTAAAAAAAAAAAAAAAAAAAATCCCCATAAACTTGGATTCTGTAGAAAAATGGCAAAACACCTCTGGAGAGGAGATTTCCTGAATTTATGGAACTTCAGATTTCTGTTGCCCCTGGAATGACAGTTCCAGAATGCAACTATGTCAAAGCATCTGCTGTACAAAACAAAATGTAAATCTTGTATAGCACCAAACCCTCCAATGTAAATACTCGAGGCATACAGGTATAAATTCCCGTAGCGTTACGGGTTGGTGTTCTGTTCCATAGGTGTTTGCTGCAAAAGGATTCCTGCTGCAGCAGCAGGAGCTGCCTTTAGAAAGCAGGCAGCACTGTCAGTTATCCAGGAATCCTTTTGTAATAAATCACAAGTCTTGTTAAGGAAGAGATTCAAGCTTCTGCTTCAGTTTCCCTCCCAAAAAACACGTAATTATCCTGTCTGATTTTCAAACGTTCAGGGTAAGGGGCACAAGAGGCTGGTTACAATAAATCCCCTCATATTGAGTGGCCGGTCGACGACTGCACACTTTCGATATTGTAATAGCTGAGGAGGACTTGCTAAAATGTGATCTTTTCCCATCCGAAACAAGAGTGTAGAATCTGATCTACACAAAGGATTATAAAGTGACTGACAACTCACAAACTACTTTGCTCTTGAGAGAGTGGCAGTTTCTTGATTATTATTTTTTTTTAAATTTTGGTGGAAAACTGTTCAGTGCATAGTAGTATATGCACAGACGTCTTCTCTTATGAGTGTAACAGAATTATTATGGTACTTTATCTGATGCACAATTAATCTCTCAGCAGATATTCAGTCTTGAGTCTAACGTGGGGGAGGGGAGAGGAAAATCTAGGTTTCCCTATATAAAAATGGCACTTTTTTGGCTGCAAATTGTTGTGAGTTCTTAGTAGTAAATGTTATCCCGATATGCCTCTTCTTAAGCAGGTGAACAATCTTAGTGTCCTGCCATGTGCTGTTTGCTACAAACACATTAGTATAATGAGAATAACTGATCTGATGTTAGGTTTAACTGTTTGAATTGATGAGAAGACCCCCTGGTAAATGTGTTTTTAAAAGTACAGATCCATTTAAGAATACTGCTATAAACTTGCTGTGTAAGTAATTTTAGTTGTAGACAGCATATCCTCAACCTGATGCACTCAATTTCCTCTTCCTTGTGGAGTCAGATGCTCATATCTTTAGGCAGGTGAATGTCGAACAGCTGTGGCAGTTTCTGCATTGTGTGTATACCAGTCCGAGAGGTAATGTTGCTCGTTCGGTGTCTTCAGTAGGACGCTTGCCAGGTAAACACCCTGAACCCTTCCCCTGCTCCCTTTCCCAGCGAATGCTCTAATCTGATTCCAGGTCTTCTAATCATATTTAGGATGCCTGGGAGAACTTTGTGTTGGCAAGAATACTGTACCTAAAGCTGGGTTTTGAAAATTACCCAAGACTCATTTTATTTGTCTTTTAAAACTGCATACTGCTGAAAGAACAATTTTTTTTTGTATTGGATTATGAGGATGGGGAAGACATGACTCTGGTAAAAGAACAGAAGCCCCTTCCTCTGGTCAGGTTGTGACAAATCTCACACCTCCTGCACTTTCTGGTTTCAGCCCACACGAGAAAATACCAAAAAAGTACTGTGACAAATGCTGCTTTGCTTTGTGTGTGGTATTCTGACTGGTCAGACAGCCTTGTACTGAAACCTCAGCCCTCTTGCATGTGGTTTCCAATTCAAAGAGGTTTGGGATCAGAGGCAGGAATCGGAACATCTGAACGTGGTCACTAATTACTGCCTCTTACCCGTGTGGTAGCAATTATTTTGCCACTAGCACTTAGCTTTGGTTTTCTTACCTGTATATTGTGAATGGCTTAATACCTTGTAGTCCTATTTAAATTGTAACATGGAACAGTGCCTAGATTTCCCCCCCAAAAAACTCGTGACAAATTTTGGTCTAATCCCCTTGCCAAAATTTCTCTCCGTCTCTTTAAACTGCGAGAGAAACTCTCCCCCGTATGTTACTATGAATGCGCCCAAATTCTTCAACCTGTCTGAAGCGGTGGATTTTGTAGCAGCCTCAGTGAGTTAAAAGGAGCGAATGCACCGCAGGCTGATGGGATCTTAGTGGTTCCTGACCCTTTAAAAGTACACGAACTCCCCCACTCTTAAAGAATCTGTTGCATTTTACAGCCTGGCAGAGTCTCAGGGAAGACTTGGTACCAGAGGCACAGCGACCTTACGCTGACGAAGAAACTTGTGCTTTCAAGTGGTCTTTTGCAAGGCTCCCTTGTAATTCCAGGAGGAGTTTATTTTTTGAGTTGCATTTTTCTTAGTCATTCTCACTGCCTTCCCCTCTCCTTTTTAACCCGTGCAGCGAGTGAGCTCAAGTTTCTTCTTTTAAAAACTGAAACTCACCTGGCGATCGCATCGGAAGTTCCACAGAAGGATCATAAAAGCGATGTGCATTTGTCACAGGCGACTTGTAATATGCTGCTATCTAGCCTTAATCTCTTACGTACTGTATCTACAGAGGAAAGCAGCCCACAGGTAAGCAGTAAGGTGCTCCGCCTTTTCAAAGCTCCTGCAGGTTGCACAGAGGCTGTTTTCTCAATTACTGCTGCTCTGTGTATGGCAAGATAGAGAGAGGGAGTTGAAATTTGCAAAGAGAGCTTAATTTCCAACAGCGGCTATCACGCCTCATATTAACCTCAGAGAACTTCCAAGGCCAAATGTTTAATTTCCTGCTCTGTGCTGTGGTGAAAGGCCCATCTGGCTCGAAAATCCTGCCTTTGATTGTATGTGGGATTCACAGGAAGAATAGAGCTTAGTCTGTTTCAGTTCTTCCTGCTCCTTCCCCCCCCCTTCCATAATTGGAACAGCTGGATTCAAGCAGTGGTAACACTGTTTTAGCATAAATATATAGAGGAGTCGAAGCGGCTCTGTCTGGGATTCTATGGGTGCCATACCAGCTCTTTTTGTGTGGCGGCTGGGTGGGAGAAGTG